GCCCTATGCCCTCTAACTGTTGCCTTCCTAAGAGCCAGACATCCCTGGGCAGATTCTGGCTTTCCCAGAGGCCTTTCTTTCTTTATTTTTCTATTTATACATGCATCATTTTCTCCATCTTTTGCCTGTCTGATGCAAGATGGACAGGGGATGGCAAAAAAGTTGAAAAACCAATCGAATAATCCTGAAGAAATTGTTAACAGACCTAGACGAAGACCAGCCAAGAAACATTTATCTTAAATGAGGTTTGGGGAGAAATCTGGAGATTTCGTTTAAAGTATGTTTACTTGACAACAAGCATGCGGTATATTTACTGGAGAGCGGGCAGTTGTTTTTGCAGGTCTGTGGACAAATCCACCAGCTGATCCAATGACTGCCTTTCAAATGTATTAATTCTGGCTTTTGTATACACTGTCCTGGCTTAATCATGACTATTTAAGAGTTGCATGAAATAAATCATTTTATCCCCTTTTCTTTGATAGATTGAGGTTTTACTTATGCCTGAGTCTTGTGTATTACTGGACCATAGTCATTGCTGTTGTTGCGAGTATGTACTTGGGAATGTTGGAAATAGTGAATTTTAACAATGTTCAGTCAAATGAATAGGGAATTTTTCAAAAGCTTTCTTCTTCCTTACTGCTTTAAAAAATACTACTTAAAACAGGAGTACTCACACCATGACACAGATCATATTTAAACACATATTTTAAAATTTTTAAAAGATTGTCACGTATTACTCTTTAACATTTAAACTTCATTGCATATGTTAAGCCTTGGATCTAGATGTTCCATGAAGTCACATATGGTAAAAGGCTCCATTGTTATTTTGTGGCACCATCAGGAAATGCAGCATTTAAGAGATGAATCTACTTGAGGTTGTGACTTCTTAGAAGGGGCTGTTGGGATTCGAGCTTTTTCATTGTGTTTCTCCTGGGACATGCTGTCTAACCAAGACGCAAAACAAAGGAATACATGTCTATGGGCTGCAATCTCTGAAGCCAGGAGCCACCCCCTTTTCCCTTCCTCTAAATTTATTATCTCAGGTATTTCTGTAGAGTAATAAGTAACTAACTCCATGGTAGAGTTAAGATATAAAACTACTATTAGAGTAGAAATGTCAAAGGAAAACTAAAAACTGCCTTCTTGACTTGGGGAGACCTATGGTCTGTTACTAGGGTTTGATCCTACTGCACGTATTGGCTTTGTGGGAGCCTAGGCAGTTTGGATGCTCACCTTACTAGACCTGGATGGAGGAAGGTGGTCCTTGGACTTCCCACAGGACAGAGAACCCTGATTGCTCTTTGGGCTGACGAGGGAAAAAGACTTGACTGGGGGAGGGGGAGGGAAAGGGGAGGCGGCGGTGGGGAAGAGACAGAAATCTTTAATAAATAAATAAATCTTAAAAATTCAATAAAAACAAAATAAATAAATAAAATAAAATAAATAAATAATTCTTAATTGAGATGCCTGCTTGTTTATACTAAGACTGCTGACATAGTATTCACAATAAGTGAATATCAGGACCAAAACAATGTCCTTAACTTGGGTAATGCTACTTGTCCAAATGATAAAGCAATCTATAGATGCCACATAAGCACCAGAACTCCTTAAGAGAGTGATTTCATACTAGATCCTACTTTGCTCTTTGGCTCACGGGGCTTTGTTCACTTTGCTAAATGTTCTTCATTCTGTGTCACATACATTTCCATTCCTTCTTGGCTTCCCAAAGCTGTTATCACACCACATGTCACATGTTCTCCTTACTCCTGCTTTGGTAACAACTCACACATACATCATGCCTTACAGTCTGTCTTCACATCCTGCTGCTGGTCAGTGATATCGCCAGACACAAAGACAAACAAATCTATGGCTCTAGATTTTTAAACATACAGAAGCACATTGGATGTTGTCCATTCTTCCAGTTAACAGTTAGTCAGTGAATCCAAAAACCACGTGTATCAGAGAAGGACCAGAGCCTAGGGAAGATGGGAAAGAGCTGCTGTGGGGGGCTGGCCTTACTGATACAAAGCCACGTGTTTGGTAGAATATGGCAATGTAAAAACTTGCTCACAAGATTGGAAGAAAACAGAGGAACGGGTGTGAGAGTCTCATTACCTCTTTACAGCCGTAGGTCAACAAATGCTATCTGAGATTGAGATGTGTCTGCCGTAAGCCAAAAACTATCCCAGACTCTTAAGTTTTTATAATTTTAAAATACACAGGGAGTGAATTGAAAGCTATAGCATCTCTTTTTAAAAGGGAAGCAGTTTAATTTTAAGGATCTCCTCTTACATTTCATGTTCTCTTCTACTAAATTCACACTAAAATCAAATGCACATTTTATTTAAATATAACATAACATAAAGCCCTGTTTTTGGAAAGACATCTCTGTCTATTATCTTTCCTTACCACTTTTATTTCTTAATTATTCACTGTTGTTTCCGAGACGGTAGCCCTAACATAAATAGGTTATTTTCCTGCAATAAAATATTTGATAATTTTTATTCTTTTCTGTTGATTTGTTTAAATTTTTAAATAATTATTCAGACAGCAAAGTCAATTCTCAATAAACATAAAGTGCACGTTGGCATTTGTTAAACCACCTCCCATATTACTAGTGACTGTTATTAAGATTTTCCTTTTAAGATTGTTTTACAGTCCACATTTTCCTCTATTTCTTCCTGTTATGTTCATAATAACCTGATTTCTGTGCAGACACTGGTCCTCATTTCACAGCCGAGATTAGAGGGGGTCTCCGGCTGAATTATGGTTCACAGGCCAGGCACTTAGGTCCTCACTGTCCTAATCCAGGGCTTCCTGACAAGCTAATCTTGGCTTTCATGCCGTGATTGTGTTAAGGAAACTGTAGCATATGATGCAAAAGCTCGTCCTGCCTGTTAGTCCATCAATACCACTGTTGGGGACAAACACAAGCTTAGCTGCAAAGGAAATAAATCAGCCAAAGATAAATGATTCTACGAGGGAAAACAGGTAGGACGCTGGGCTAAAGACTGCATCAAAGGAGAAAGGGAAATCAGGCAGTGTGGCTTTCAGAAACCCCAACTCTCATTTCTGTATCTAGGTTTCCCCAATTCCTGACTTTTAGAAGAATCTGGGAACTTTTCAGTGGAACCTGGTCATTATCTAGTTTGGGACAATTATCCTTAGTGAAGCAAACAGGAAATGACTTGTCTGTAGAAGCATCTTTTTCTTTTCCCTCAGCTGTCTATGGACAATCCAATTAAAGAGAAGAGCCCTATTGCACAAGTTAGATTTGGATAAGGCCAGGAAATTGTATTCTTTAGAATGGATGAAAGTTTCCCATCATATAAACATATAGCAATGTCCTTGTATCACTTGGGTTAACATAATACCTAAAATAAATTGCCACCCTGCAGTCTTTCTATAATCGGCAAGTGACGTGGTACACACTATAAACGAGCACAAAGTCAGAGTGTGCCCTCCATCTTTATGCAATGTGAAACCCTCAGACTTCCATACCCAGACTTTATTTTGTTGCTATGCGACTTACATGCAACACAGCGCATGTAAATAAATTATGAATTTTACAGAGAAGGGAAAAACTCTTCCCTTCTTCTTTGAGAAAAAGCCACAACTTCCTTTCATGCTATCCTAATGGACCGCAGCCCTTTCAAGCTGTTTCCCAAACATCAAGGTTTGGGCCAGATAAACAATCAAATGAATAACACAGCTAGGATACAGATGTGGCGTGCAAACAGCACGCTAAGGAGCATCGGGCCCACTGGATTCACCCTTACAGGCCTGAGAGCTGGGTGCCCAAACCCGGTAGTCAGGAGGAAGTTTATTTCACACCCACACTCTTCCAGGTAGCAGAATATAAGCAAGCTTAAGCAAAGGAAATTCTGGAGATTTCTGTTGGCAGCCATCCCAAACGATAGAGGCCCCAGGCATAAGTCTGTAGCAGGGTAGAAGAACTCTCCTAGCTATGAGAGAAACAAACAACTGTGAGGACAAGATGTTACAGAGAGTGGGAACTGAGGGCTCTGGAACCAGATGTCGCCTGTATCTCCATGGAAGATGACTTTCTCCATGTTCAAACTGCATAGCGTTGTCTGGAGAAGGCATAAAATCATACTGCGTTTGCATTCATGAGAAGGAGATGCTACTTCCAGAACAAAGCACAGCATGGAAACACCCTGGACATGCAGCAATGGGAGAAGAGATCAGTATCCTGTGGCAAGGCTCCACAGTGGATCACAACCTGCTGCAGACCAATAAAGAAAACCAACTACTGAGAGATCCAACAGTAATGCCTTCCACATGTAATGTACAGAACACCCCAAATACCCAAGCACATGCCATAAGGTTTGTATCGTATACAGTTCAGCATCAGTCAACAGCAATCAGTGGCCCTGGACACCAGGGATGCTTACTCCAGGAGAGGCTACTGTGAGAAGCGATGGGAATTTTCTACATCATGATCTACAGGGAACCTATATAGCTGTATGAAATGTACCCACACACACTTCTGCTCCTAGCCACCTTACACGCTCTGAATAGGCATCTTATGCCTCAGTAAGAAATAAAAGAGTAAGAATCGATTGTCAAAGAGTGCCTAGTATTTCTAGGTGGCACGTGGTCTCTCCCTACAGTTCACACCTAACAACTGGCTCATTGTGCTGGCTGGATGAGACGCTGTTACAGATGGCCCCAACGATCTGTTTTAACAATCTTGTAAATAGTTCGGATACAGGCTGTGGTTTAAGGGACACTGCCCTACTGCACTGTACCCCAGGTGGCACAGCAGACAAGTGCACAGCCTCTTGGAGCTCTTTTCTTTATTGCTTTCTCCCAAAGGATTTTTCAAAGACTCAGAGAAGAGATGAATATTAACAATATACATATGTGCATGTCAAAACCTCCAAACTACAACATGATTGTGTATGACATTTGTGTTTTGTGTGCTAAATAATAAACTTAGCTTAAATTTAAAAAAAAAAGAAATCAGAAACAGAAAAGACAATCACAAAGTTTAATGGCAGAACTCCCGGAAAGTAATGTATAATCAACCCTCTCCATTCCTGCCTCAACCATTCCTGTACCCTTATTTGTTTCCAACGGATCCAAACCACTGTATCTTTTTGGTTATAGAAAATTTACCCAACCTGGGGTTTGGGGACATAGTCTATCTCTGAAGACATGAAGAGAAATCCACATAGCATAGTTCTGAGCTTACAAAAAGTTACAGGAAATCTACGCATCTACATCCATTCTTCTTGTAACTTGAATAATTTTTTTTTATGGAACTTCACTTCCTGAACTACTATCAGCATTTTTGGATGGCATCCCCAGCAATGCAGCCACAATGCATATTGTACACTAACAGCAAAAAAAAATATTTGCTAATCAGTAGGGAATACTTCTTCACTGATTAACTAGAAAGGACAGCATGGTACAATATGGAGATAATGTTTCCTCCACATCTGGAGAAAAGGTGAAAGCTAATTCTTCCCATTTTTATCAGAATAAGTGATTGCTTGTTTTAATCAAACACAGATATAATTTCAAAAGGAAAACCTGTGTCCACGCTGCTATCATTTAGCAGTGACCTGGGATTCAGAAGTCGAATGGAGAAAAATCACAAGACAATAAGCAAAATCCTAAAGTGAAATCACAGTCATCTTTTCAGACGGCAAGTCTCTTCTCAGTGACTTCATTCAACACTCCATAACGTTTGAACAGAATTACTGCAGAAGCCAAGTGTGCCTCCTGTTGCAGAAATCTCTCTTTGGGACTAAAACTAACAGCCCTGTGTCATTACCTTCACAGTGTCCAGAAGGGTTTCCATGTGCAGGGTTTGATGCTACTTGGTTGTTGTATTTAAAACACTAACAATTTTACCTTCAAAAACTGTGTCTTTTAAGTGACATTCAGTGGCACAAGCGGAGTGTATACTGAGTCAAGTTGTGCCCTGTGCAAGTCCTGGGGCAAGGTGCAAGTGAGAACCATAAGCATTTCATAGGGTCTCCAGTTGGCATTGTAGAGTGTCTCCACTGCCCCATGTCCAAGGAAGAATGGCATTAAACAGAAAAAACCAAGAAGGCAACATTGACAATTATGGAAATTATTGTGGTCAAAGGAAATGGCTTTTGGGGGGCATCCTTCTGAGCAAAAGTTCCCTATCTTTATTCACCATGAACCCCACAAAATACATACTTGACCCTGAATGTGGTTATAAGTGAGAAGGATTGAAAAAGATTCAGGGGGGGCTAGGAAATCAATACCTCAAAAAAGGGAATGAGTATACAGAGTTCAAAAATGAAAATTATTTCTTGATGGCCCAAGTAGATAAGACATATCCTTTTCAAACGGGGTGACTGCCACACAGCATTCAGATATATTCAGATACTCCATACATGGCTAGAAATACACCTTCAGAGACCTAGGTGCTAAAAGTCAAAAAGTCTCTAGAAAAAATCACAAATTACCACCATCCATTTCAATTCTACCTAGTGCTGTTTTCTCAACACGGCAGATCCAAGCGTCATGTTTCTTTGGGCATTTCCAGCATTTCACAGCCCAGGCACACTGTAAGAAGCACTGTCTTAAGGAAATCTAAACATAAGACAGGTTAATAAACAGGGAGGTCATTATCTTTTCCTTCAGCCCACTACCTCCAATTTTACCAGAGGATATCTTTTGTTTCCCAGCACTTAAGCCTGCCAGGGGATGACGTTGTCTAAACACATTTTCAATGTTTTCTTTTTAACAGTTAATATATTTCCAGGATGCAAGTCCATTTCTTTCTAAAAGGTTCCTAGGACACCCATTGAAAAGTCAAAAGCAATGAACGAAAAGGGATCGCTGTTTTGTTGGAGAAGAACGACAGCCTTTGTATTGAAGTGGGGAGTTACAGTCTGTGGTCACCCTCTGCACAGTGTCTCTTTGTCAAGTAATACATGCTGGAAAAAAAATAATACAGATGGGAAAATATTGTGCACTGTCAGATCTTGGAAACGGCCAAAGGATTTTTCCTCACCAATGTCTTGTCGATGACTTTCACATTCTGGCACCCTGAAAAAAATAATGCATACATTTAATATGAAATGAATGCAATAATAATCAGGCAGGTAATCGTTTTTCCCAAGGAATGTAAAACTTGACAAATGTAAGGTTTATGATTCAAGGTAGGCTTGCCAAATCTTATGTGGCATGAGACCATTTTTATTACCTAAACAGTCCTTAATACAAAATGACTGGCACATATTTTTATTAGCACAAAGACTGTATTCTTTCTGCCACATTTAATAGACAGCCAGCGCCTGAAAGCTCTCGTTTAGGATATGTCTGCAGCAAATTAAAATGTGTAGTGAGGATTCACAGAATGACATTCTTCTCCCGAAGGTTCCGGCAACCTCGGGCTGCACGGTAGCAGAGAGACAATCTTGGGCGTTGTAGCTAGCAAGGTTATTTGGACCCTGTGGCTCACAGAAAATGAACTCACTTCAGTGTCAAATGGGGAAGCTGGTAACTCACTCGAAGCTTTTCTTCCTCATCAGCTAAAGGTCCATTTTGAGTCAAACTCTAAGCAATCCACAGTAAACGCAGCACTTACTAATTCTTTTCACAAACATTTACTGTTTGTGTGCCAGGCATTACTCTAAACACTGCAAACCCAGCAGAGATAAAAGATGGAAAGATCCCCGGTCACACGTTTTGTATTCTAGAGGGGAAATATAAAATACATAATGTGTGTTGCGTAAAAAACAAGTTGTGTGACAGATGACTTATGAACAGTGATAGATTCTAAGGAAAAAGACTGCAAGAACAGGGAAGAAAGCTGGAACTTGGAGCTAGATCAGCAGTCAAGGTGGTCCCCTTGTGAATGAAAAATGTACATGAAAGATTAAAGGGTGGAGGGACTCTCCATGCACTCATCTGGGGAGCATCAAAAAAGAGGGAAGATCCCGCACAGAGTCCATGAGGCTGGAACTTGTCTGATAATCAAGGAACCTTTAAGAGGCAAATGAAGCTTCGGTGCAGTAACAGGGACAGCATGGGTAAAAGCTGATTCTGGAAGGGTAACAAGGCCCTTGAAAACTATTGTAAGGACTTTGACATCTATGCTGAGTTAAGTCCAGAGTCATTGGAGGGTTCTGATCCAAGAGGAACATGAGTTAAATTAATGTTTTCAATGACTACCCTGGTTTCTGTGATCAAAGGAGAACAGGAGAAGGCAGGGAGACAAGGTTAGAGAAGCAGACCCCAATATCCACTGCAAAAGTAATGGGGCAGCCACTTGGGGGCAGTGGGTGTGATGAAGGGGGTCAGATTCAAATTACACTGTAATGAGCAGCTTCTGTGAATACCACGATGTGAAAGAAGAGGCAAGTGTTGAGAGTTCAAGCCAGAGCAAATGAAACTTTGGCATGAGGGCAAACTGAGAGTGAGGGGCTGCAGGTGGCACAGGTCTAACGGAGAATTAGGGGCATGGTTTTAAACAGGTAGAGTTTGACCTGGTGCTTAGTCAAAAGGTAGAATTGACTGGCCAGTTGAATCTATGCAGTCATGTATCAAGAAGTGAGAAAAAGAATGGTGCTCTCCCTACCTTTAGAGTCCTCTTGCTCACAAAGGCATCCCTGATGGAATTGTCAAAGCTGAAGGCTAAGTAACTAGGCTCACTGTAAATCCACCAGTCCATGGCCTTGGAGCCATAAACATAAAGCAAACTGCAAGTTGAGTTGCCCTGATATCTTTTGTCCTCCAAGGAGCCTGGATTAAATCCCACAGAAAACACAACAGCAGTAAACGAGGATAAGAACCTGCTGTCATTTGAATCGGGAGTGTTCTCCATGGGCTCCTGTTTTCAGTGCCTGTTTCCCAGGAGAGGAGCCATGCTGGAGGCTGTGGAGCCTTTCAGAGGTGGGTGGGAACTAGATGGTGGAAGTAGTCACTAAGGCAAAGCCCCCCAAGGTTAAAACTTAGCCCCTGGTTCAGTCTCTGCCATGAGCCCACAATACTTTCCCCATGGTGATGGGCTGAAAGTCTCTGAGACAACGAGCTCAAATAATTGTTTTCTTCAATTAAGTTTTGTCTGTCAGTGGTTGTGTTGTGGTGACATTACATCAAGGAGTGCCAAGACTTACCACTGAGACCCATGGCCAGCCGGAATTCTTCCTTCAGGATCTCAAGGACATCCTGAACACCCTTTTCTCCCTAAGCAAGTATAAGATATTAAAGTACTGAGTAAACTAGTTTAGTTCTATTTTACTATTAAAGGATTTTATTGTATTTGCTTATTTCCTACTCCAATTACCTGGAAAGCCAAGCCCCATATGATGGGTCTCCCCACAAACACAGCCTTGGCTCCCAGGGCCAGAGCTTTGAGAACATCAGTGCCCTTCCTTACACCTCCGTCCAGGAAGACTTCCACCTTCCCTTCCACAGCCTCGACGATTTCTGGCAGGGCATCAATCTAGTGGGAGAAGGAAGACAATGTGACGTTGTTTGTGTAAAAAAAAAAAAAAAGAATCGGCTCAATTTCACCTCCATCCAACTCAGGCTCAGAGAGAAAAGAGGTTAAGGTCGAAGATGGAATCATTTCTCCAAGAAGAAAACAATGCAATGCTAGAACTGGGAACTCATGTGAATTCAGAATTGAGCAGCCTCTATGTCTTCAAAGTCTGGCATTCATTTTTCTATTCCTGATATTTATATGCAAATATTATGTCTAAAAATAATAAACATAATTCTGAATCACTCAATCTTTCATAGCTCCTTCTTTTATAAGAGTATGTGAAGTATCTTACTGGTATACAGTATTCTTAGCATTATTTACCAGAATTTGATGGTTAAAATGCTTGGTAGGTGTTGTAAGCAGTAGTGTATAAAATGTGTAAGCGTGACCCCTCTCTGAGTTCCTCTTCTAACAAACTTTATATCCAGATAAGCGTTAGGCAATGATGAAAGCAGTTTACCCACAGTTACAGGAAAATGACCATGTGACCCTGAAAGAGCCCAGTCTAAATTGGCCATTGTCAATGGGCTAAGATACCATAGAGAACACAGGAACCTCTCAAAGGTGAGGTGGTGGCTTACAGTATTGTTCAGTAACCCCCATACTTCTCTGAATGCATTTCCTTTCTAAGACGTCTATATAGTTTCTCCCATTCAAATAGAGCATATTAACATCCACCTTGATGCTGACTTTAGTTCTATGACCCACTTTGGTAGTCACATGTGAGCAGAGGAGGTTGAGGGCCATCTGTGGGCACCAGCCTGAATAGCTATGTCAACTATTTCTCCTTAGGTTTGCCTTTCTGTCATTTGTCATGAGATAGGGATCCCCAAGTCTTGTTCCCACGGAGTTTGGACCCCAGGGAGACCATTTAAGAGGCAGAGATGTCTAAACCTCGCCTAGCTGAACCTGAAACTTATAACCCAGCCAGCAAGCTAGTTCCAAGCCTGAACCAGAAGATCCTAGTAGCAGGATGTTTTAAGGGAACAACTGTTAGTTTAAATAACTGGCTCCCCTCTCCCTGCCCCCAAAGTCACAGTAGTAAGCAATACAACTAGCTCATTAGATATAGGTGAAAATATGGAAATATTTCACCTTTGCCCCACAGCATTTCAGTCTGAAATGAAGTTCTGAGTCCACTCCTGTAGGCTGTGAAAGCCACCACACACTTAAGCTACTCTTTTTCCAGAAATAATTGTACTGAAATCACTGAAAGGCTTTCCTACTTCTCTCCTCGAAGTTTAGTGGCTGAACTTAAATAGAGTTTTATGTAAAAGGCTGAAAACCAAACACAGCTACAATTTGGAGGAAGTGGAGGCAATCCTTGGCCAGTGGTCCCTAAATGTTTGGCAGGTAGCGCAATTTTCCCCTTTCCCTTCTGGCTTCCATCCCTTGCCAAACATGCTTCGGATCCATTTACATACGTTCACTTACCTATACATAGTCCCCTTTTACATTCAGGCGAGTTACATCAACATATAAATGCTACAATTTCCAAGCCATGATGCAAGCCATAATTAAGCATATTTCCCCATTTGAAACCAGAACCAAAGAAAAATATTAGCTAGCTTGGGTTCAATACACATTTTCAAAGTCACACAAATCAAGTCTGTTTAGGTTATTTCCAGTGCCTTAGTTGGCCTAAAAGTACCCTAATAAGGACACTTAAGATACGAATCCTGGAATATAGAACAGAGCCCACACTTGTGCCTCGGTGTCTGTGGACAGGTAGGTCCCATCCAACACTGAGCGATTCTAACTTTCCTCTCTTCCCAGAGCTGCACTTTCACTAGGCACACACCACATAAAACAGAGTGATCTGGGAAGAATGGATAAAATAGAGCAGACAAGCCCAATAGATACTGCCCTATTTAGGGCTCCAATTTTCCTTTCTACGCATCAGTATTGCATCCATCGTTACTCTCTTGAAGAAGGACACTCAAATGTTCCAACCAAAGAAGCTGGACATTAACAAGGTGCTGCAGTTAAAGCAGAGGTAACTTCTTCAGCTTTCAGAATCTCTCTCAGACCACAACTCACACCCCTCCAGGGCTGCTACGCAGTAGAATCAGAAAACCACCCTCCAGAGATTCAGCAAGCCTCCAAATGGCTCCAATAATTGCTCCACCCACTCTTCGATTCATAGTGGGATTATGCTCCCTGGGGCATCCTTAGGGAAAGGGGCGATGGGGTAGGGATCTGAATGGTGGCTAGCGTTCACCAATGGAACAGGAGAGATTCTAAGAAGGCATTACCTCTGAGCTTAGATCGTAAGACCTGGCATGACCCTTTAAGAAATTTGCCCCTACATGAAAACAGACCAACCTGACCCACTGGAAGATGTGAGACGGTGAGGTTATCTTCTACCAGGCTGGTCTGCTGCACAAGCAGCTGACCCCATACCATCGGGACTGAGCGCAGCCAAGCCCAGACCCCACCACCTCACAGTTCTCAACTCAAAATGTCAACTGAATAAAACTGGGACATACATAATGTTTCAGCCAGTAAGTTCAGATTTGTTTGTTATGCCACAAAAGCCAGTTCATGTGCCAAGTACCTCTTAAGGATGAGACATGCCTTTACAATTCATTTTGTGTTTCTGTCATACTGGTGCTAGAGTTTGAACTTAGGGTCTCCTCTATGCTAGGCAAGAACTCTACCACTGAGCACCCCTCTAGCTCCAAGCACTCCCCTTTAAAAAAAAAAACATTTCTTAGATGGTACAGAACATGCCTAAGGACTCAATTTGAGAGTCAGCAACTTAATGGCTCAAATGCTTATTTACTGAAAGGGTTTGGCAGGTGAGAAACTGACTGTGGAAAGAACATTATATCTGTAAGTCGGAAGTTGTTGGGGTTTAGTTGGCATCAAAATGCAATGCAAATCTGAAAAAAAAATTATAAAAAAGAATGTTCGAAGGACTCATGCAGGCCAGAGAACAGTGTGTGAAGATAAACTGAAGTTAAATTCCTGGTCCAGAAATTCAAGGGGGACAACATTTCTCTATACAAGGGAATGCTGGGAAGTAGAAAAATATAGAACCGTACAATCCAGACAAATTCCTTAGGGAACCAACATAATGCCAGAAGAAGTTTGGGCATAAGAGTCTGAGAGACTGGCCCTTCTGTCTCTCACACATTTCAGAAGGCAAGAAAATAAGAAATAACTCAAACTCAAGCCTTCACTTTCAAAACTCCTCACATGATGTCATCCTGGGCGCGTCCCCTGCCTTCTGATGTCATGAAGGCCACAGGATGGTAAAGCAGTCTATGCGTCTAGTGTAAAGGCTTATGCCATAGCCTTTTTTTAAGTCGTTGACTGCTCACCTCAAAACCCATATACCAAGGGAAAGAAAACACCACTTGCCAAAGACTGGGAGCATTCATACCTTGCTCTCATCATCATGGGCCTTAAATTGGCTAAGCGTGAGGCAAAGCTGAAGCAAGCTTATCCTCTCATCCACAGGGCAGGCCAAAGGAGGGGGCATTGTTTTTTTTCAAACAGTCTCTGAGACCACAACTCAAAAAGCCCTTTTAGATAAGTTTCCATATGCCCTTGGCCAGAAGGAATGAAACCACACCATTTAGATATTTTCCCCTTAAAATCTAGTTAGATTTGATTTCAGAAAATTTATATTTTATTTTTTGAAAACAAACTTAATTTGGCCCGCACACTAAGTCTGTGTCTTCGTGCACAAGTGAGGCATAAATCTGGTCAGAAGCTCTGAGCTCTGAGTCACTTCTCCCTCCCTTCCACTCCTTTTATCCTACAGGCCACACTTAATATCACCCAGAATGCTGTGTCTGTGGGACTAGGTCTACATCAGCAGGAGCTTACAACCTCCAGCTTTATGACTTCAAATCTTAGGCTGCTAATCCCACTGTGTGCAGACTTGACTGCCCACACCCTCGAGTGCTTTGGGTCACACTGTGGGAGAGCCCTGTGCCCACCAGGGCTCCCTGCTAGCTTGTACTTTGTTATAAAATGAACCCAAGTTGTCTGCAAACTTCACCAAATCATCCTGCTGGTTCAAGGAAACAACAGTTCACTACTACCAAATTGAATTTTTCCTCTCCAGAGGTTTCTATGATCCCTACAAGTGTGTATGCCTTCATTTCCCTTGAACCGCCATGTCTGTATCGCCTCTCTTCTTCTCCAGCTCATACATTGCCTACAATAACCACAAGAACAATCCCTGCCTTACTAATTAGAAGGGCCTTTCTTCATGAGTTTATAAACAGACATCTTGGACTAGTTAAAAATAATTATGTCTGCTAATTTAGATAATTCCTGTACCACTGAAAATCTGAGATCTCACATAACATCTTGCAGTTTACTGTAAGTGATACACACACACACACACACACACACACACACACACGGGAGGCATATAGAGCCCTGATTTTCCAAAGATAAATGAAGAAACCCCAGTGGAAACTCACAGTAGCTGGCACGCCATCCAGTTGTCTCGCCCCGTGATTGGACACCAAGATCCCGTCCACACCATGCTTCACAGCTTCTCTAGCATCGTCGCCTGGAAAGAACAAAGCATCATCCCATGGAAACTGGACCAAAGGCTTGGACTTCCAAACTCCAGCATCCCTATAGAGGGAGGAGGGCCTCACTCCTTCCCGTCTTCCTTAGTACTTTCATTAAAACACACCAGTCGTTACATTTAAAATATTAGGGGTAGCGTCTCCTTCTAAAATTAACAGGTGAAACAATTAATTTAATATGTGACAAAACTATGAGGACATAGTAAATTGTCATAAAGAGTTTATCTTTGTGAAGACTTGCTAACATTATGTATTCTATAATGTTTTATTAAACATTTGGGAATTTCATACAATGTATTTAGTTACATTAACCCCTTCCACTAACTCCTCCCGGATCCTTCCTCACTTTCCTACCTGCTGACCTCTTCATTTCTCTCTCCCTCCTCACCCCCTCTCTAATCCAGTCCAGTCTGTGTTAGCTGACCATGACTGGGCATGGGGCCTGCCCTGGAGTGTGGTCAATCTATCAGGTATCACATCATTAAAGAAAACTGACTTTCTCTGCTACTTACTCGTTTGTTTGTTGTTATATGTGTGTGCTCGCATGGGCTTATATGCAGCACATGAATTTGGGTGCCCAGGGCGGTCAAAAGAGAGTGTCGTTTACTCTCCGGGAACTGGAACTGAGATTACAGGTCTGAACTCTAGTCCTTTGTAAGACCAGTAAGCACTGAGCCGTCTCTAGAGTCCATATTAGCTATTTTTAATTAATAAAATCATATCAGTTTTGCCACTTAGCAAAAGTATCCCCTTACAATATGGAAAATAAAATAGCATGTATGTGACAAGCATTATCATGGCAGCCACCAATCAACAAATCTATTCCAAACAGTATTTAATACAATTTAATACACAACAGAAAATTCAGTAACTGTTTTGCTGTTTGTTATATAATTGAATTTTGTGCAATGGAATACATTATAAATATGATGTTAAAACTATAACTCACTAATTGTGCTTCAATGATATTGATTTCTGAAAACCCAGCTTTAAAAGAGAATAGTATTTTTAAGCAGCAAACATAATTGTTAGATTTTGTTTTCTAAACTATTATTTATAGGATGCTCCCATTTTGTTAGTTCTTAAATGTAATAGTAAGTAAAACCAATTTGCTTGGTTTTGTCCTGAATATCTGACTTTTGAGAGTTAAGCAAGTAAATTCAGAAAATGAACGTATGTACCAATTCAGCAATGGGGTTAAAAGGTAGTCTTGATTAAGAAAAATTACAAAAGATGCACAACAGTTTGTAATTCTGATTGTTTTCATTTTTGTTTGCTACACAGCTTTCCACTACATGCCATGTAATACTAAAATCAAATACTTTAATAATGATAATAATACTATTCTTTTAACATATGGGTATATATTGATGTTATACCTATGTCTAATGGTCTTGGTACCTCTTTCCTTGCCAAGTTCTTTTGAAACCTTATTACCTGATGTGATAATATTTGGAGACAGAATCTCTGATAGGTAATTAAGACTGGATACATTCATGAAAGTGAAGTTCAAAAAGGAGTTCTTATAAGGACTTTCCTTATAAGAAGTGTCATGAAACTCTGACTTCTTGTCTCTTTGCAGAAAGAGATGAGGTGAGCTCTGACCAGAAACCATCCATGCTGAACCCTGACTCTCTCCTGTGGACCTGTAAGAAAAAATTCTAGTGCATATAGTATTTTGTTGAATGTAACACTATTAACATTGTAACTGTCATTACTACCAGTGAGTATCTGAGACTCTGACTTAGAAACTGCTGTGAGAATCCATCTTTCCCAAGGCTGAAATCAAGGAAAACAGTCACGTCCAAATAACAAGTGGGAGTCCTAAAAGTTATGCAGGTGAGCTAGCTTTGTTTGAAAATAAGAAGCCTCAGCTGAGAAAATAACTCCTCCAGCTAGGACTGTGGGCAGGCCTGTCGAACATTTTTTTGAATAATGATCTATGTGGGAGTTCCAGTCCTTTTGTGGGTGATGCTACCCGTGGACAGGTGGTCCTGGGGTATATAAGAAAGAAGGATAAGAAATGTTGCGGGAGGTCTTTGCGCCCCTCCAACCAATAGCTGCTGTGATACCAGCCCATTGGGGCGTGGTCTCACTCCCTTTAAAAAAGGGGCTATTTCCTCTGCTCGCTCTCTTCTCTTACTGCTCCGCTGGAGACGAGACTCCCTTCCTGGTTGCGCAGATGGCTGTTGTCTGGGATTGTGATCTGTAAGTTTTTTCCCCTTTAAATAAATAACACCCTATTAATCATAACTCCAAACTGGTGTTGCCTTGTTCGTGACTTACGCCTTCATCTGGCGCCCAACGTGGGGCTTTTAGGACCTCTCCTTTCCCTGCTCGAGTTCGGCTTGGCACGAGCCCTCCCTTCCTTAGCCGCGGCCTGTGCCTTGCGGCGGGCGGCTGTGTGGGCGCCATCTGCTTAAAAACCTGAGAGGGCTTAAAAAGGAGAGAGAGAGAATTTAAGACAGCTTTTTGCTGTTTCTGGGTTGCGTGCTGCAAAGAAATTGTCCTGACTCGGCAGCAGGAAAAAACTGGCTGTTTTAAAATGCCGGCTTTCTGGGCTGTGCCGCCATTGTGATCTCTGTCTGGCTCCGGCGGGAGACAGAGCGTATGAATGGAGCATTTGGATTAAAGTGCTACGATTTGTTTGATGGCAACTAGACTGCTGTGTGCCTAAAAAGGGGGACATTGTGTGCCTCAGCTCAGAGGCACAAGCAGCTCCGCCATGCTAATGGTGCAATGTGCAAGGATCAGAGGCACGAGCGGCTCCGCCATGTTGGACTGGGCGGAGCCAGCATACAGTACCTGTTTTTGACCTAGGAATGTCACAGCTTAGATTCTTAAGCGCTTAGTGATTTAAAGGCGCAAAAGAAAGTGCTCCTGGATAGTAAAAAAGTTACAGATTCACAATAAAACAGATTCAGACACTGTTGGATGAATGTACGTAGGCTTGGGAGAGAGAAGAAAAAAGAATATAAAAAATAAAGTTAATGTCTTAAAAAGAAAAAGGGTAAAGTCTTTAAAGAGACAGAATACAGAAGTACAGATAGTTATAGATTAAAAGAAATAAAGAAAAATAAGCCACGTAAAAATGGAAAATTCACAGAGAATCTGGATTATGTACATTGTGTTTTCTTTAAAATTTTTGACTGTGAAGGAGCTAAGTACAGAGAGACATTCCATTATATGGGCTGCTAAGCTGAACCTGCACATATGTTCTAAAGGTATCTTGACTTCAGAATTTGGATCTAAGGTTATGATGCTTTGGAAAAGTCCTTCTTTTGTTTTCACAGAGGACCAGACCCTATGGATTTCTTCTATTCCAATTTGGTATGATAGACCACGCCCTCCTGAAAGGTTGCTGTGAACACCCTCAAAAAATTACTTCACTCAACTGCCAACTGAGATGACCCTGGCACACAGGTTATACCATGAAAGATCTAATTAACGACGCCCCCATTCAGCAGGAAGCAGTTTGGAGAGAAAAAACTACGCCCATGTTCCCAAATATTGTTTATAAATGTTCTTTTACATTTAAAGGGGGATATGATATAGATATGAATAATTTGCATTGGTATGGATTTTAAGGTCAATTTTGTTATATGTATATGTATTTTTGATCTTGATTAAGGTATTGTGATTGTGTAGTTCATTTAAAATGTAATGTATAATTAGGAAATATAGGTTGTTAATGGATAATCATTGCTAATAGTTAAGCTTGTAGTCATGTTAATTAGATTTTCTAGATATATAGAGATATATTTCAATTAGATAGGCATTCTTCATATCTTTCAAAGACTGCAGAATATGGCATTTAAAATATTTTAATCACTTAGGACTTTTCATGACAAGGAGACACGTCTGCTCCTGGCAGCACCAGCTACTTCAAGAGGAAGATGGGCATCGAAGAGGATCCTTATGGAGTTGGATAGTCATTTGGGCAAGAAACTGCTCTTGCCTGGACTGTTGCATAAACTGGACACAGAGAACCCTCAGAGAGAGGACTGCTGAACTTGCCTAAAGGTGAGATGGTCTTTCGGGGTTCCTGATTCATGAAAGAGTCTGCGAGACATTCTGCAGGACACAGCAGAAAATGACTGAACTGTCTTTGAAATTTCCTGCTTCATGGAAATGTATCTGGATACCATGGGCCTGTAGGCCGAAGATGGATGCCCCAACGGTACCAAAGAACTTTGGGTGACTGTCCAGGCAGCGAGATGTCTCTGTCATTTCTAGAGTTTTCTTATTTCTTGTGTACTTAGGTAATATTATATCCTTCTGGAGTCTTTGATGGAGTTGAAGAATGAATAGTTATAGTTTTCCTTAGTTATGGTAAGAGATAAAATAGATATATTGTAACTGTAATTCTTACTTGATAACTGTTTTGTTATATGTAATTTTACTATGCTAAAGTTAAAGCCTTTCTTTTTTGTTTAAACGGAAAAAGGGGAAATGATGTGGGAATGATTTCTTACTAATAAAGAAACTGCCTTGGCCCATTTTATTGGATAGAAAATTAGGTAGGCGGAGTATACAGAAGAGAATTCTGGGAGAAAGAAGGTTAGAGGAAGAGTCGCCATGATGCTCCCACTCCAGACAGACACAGGTTAAGATCCTCTCTGGTAAGCCAGCTCATGGGCTACACAGAATATTAGAAATGGGTTAGAACAATATGTAAGAGCTAGCCAATAAGAAACTGGACCTAGCCGGGCCAGGCAGTGTTTGAAAGAATACTGTTTCCGTGTAATTATTTCTGGGTATAAACTAGCCATGCGGGCGGCCTGGTGCCGGGGACGCAGCCCTGCCGCTCCTATTTCAACAAAGAAAGCCATGGGGAACGAGCCACTAAGAAGCCTTCCTCCATGACCCTGCTTCAGCACCTGCCTCCAGGTTCCTGCCTTGTCTTCCCTTCATGATGGACTGTGACGTGGAGTTGTAATCTGAAATGAACCCTTTCCTCCCCACGGTACTTTTTTTT